CACCAGAATTGCTGGGGAGATGTCTCAGTGATTGCTATTGATATTTTTTTTCTAAAAAATTATTGGGATAATGGATATGCAACATAAAATTAACCATTCTCAAGCTGGGGAGCGGGTTGTAACTCAGTGGAAAAACACATGCTTAGCATATATAAAACCCTGGGTTCTATCCTCAGCACTGCCAAAAAAAAAAAAAAAAAACAAATAAAAAGCCATCCTAGGCCCAGTGTGGTGGCATAGCTATATTCCCAGCGGCTCTGGAGGGTGAGGCAGGAGGATCAGGAGTTCAAAGCCAGCCTCAGCAACGGTGAGGTGCAAAGCAACTCAGTGAGACCCTGTCTCTAAATAAAATATAAAACAGGGCAGGGAATGTGGCTCAGTAGTCGAGTGCCCCTGAGTTCAATCCCTGCTACCCCCCTCCCAAAAAAAGCCATCCTAACCACTTTTTTTTTTTTTTGGTACCTACAGTACTTGTCTTTTTAAATATATATTATATATACATTTTTCTGAGAGAGAGAGAATCTTTTTTTTTTTTTTGTAGATGGACACAATACAATGCCCTTTTTTTTTTTTTTTTAAATGTAGTGCTGAAAATCAAACCCAGGTCTCGCCTGTGCTAGGCGAGCGCTCTACTGCTGAGCCACAATCCCAGCCCCAGTACTTGTCTTTTTGTGACTGGATTATTTGAGTATGCATCTTCAAAGGTCATATATATATATATATATACACACACACACACACACACACACACATATGTGTGTGTATTTGGCATGTATCAGTTTGTGTGTGGGGGGGCGGGGGGAGGATACTCATAGTTGAACCCAGGGCCTCACATATGCTAGGCAAGCACTCTTCCACTGACCTATATCCCCAGCTGTTTTTATTTTGGGGGATGGGGTCTTGATTGCCCAAGCTAGCCTCAAATATGCAATCCTCCTGCCTCAACCTCTCCACTCACTGGGATAAAGCACCACTATGTAGGCAGAATTCCCTTCCTTTTTAAGGCTGAATAATATTACCTTGTATGCAAATTCCACATTTTGTATAGTCATTCATCTCTCCATGGACACCTGCATTGCTCCCCTTTCTGACTACGTGAACAGTGCAACTCTGAAAATTGGTGCACAAATGTTTTTTTTCTTTTTGGTGAGGGGGGTTCACTGGGAATTAAGCCCAGGGATGTTTTACCACTGAGCTACATCCCCAGTTCCTTTCATTTTTTTATTTTGATACAGGGACTCACTAAACTGGTCAGGCTGTCCTTGAACTCATGATCCTCTGCCACAGCATCCCCAGTCACTGGGATTATAGGCACAGCCATCATGTCTAAATCAATAATACATTTTTTTTTTTGTATAGGGGATTGAACCCAGAAGCACTTAACCTCTGAGAGCCACATCCCCAGCCCCCCCACCTTTTTTTTTGAGACAGGGTCTTGCTAAGTTGCTTAGGACCTCCCTAAATTGCTAAAGCTGGATTTGAACTTGAGACCCTCCTGCCTCAGCCTTCTGAGCTGCTGGGATTACAGGTGTGTGCCACCTTGTTTGGCTTCAATAGTGTCTTAAACAAACTTGTTACTTTGAGGTTCATGGCAATGTTGCAAAGACAGCAGGTCACTGTCACACTGCAGGGGAGAAACAAGCTGTGTCTTTGGACAGTTCATTCAAAAGTTGCACTCAACTCTTACTGGTTTTAAGAAACTAGGGACATGAATATAAGAATTAATCACACTGCAGAGGGCCCCAACACTATGAGACATCGTCTGGTAGTCAATTTTCTTTTTTTTAAATATTTTTTCAGTTATAGATGGACACAATATCTTTAATTTTTTTTTTATGTGGTGCCGAGGATCAAACCCAGTGCCCCCCCACACATGCAAGCCAAGCACTCTACCATTGAACTACAGCCCCAGCCCCAGGGTAGTCCATTTTCAAAATATAATATTTAGCTTTACTTGGGATATAAGAACCAATTGTAGTCATTTAAGCTATAGTCCTTCCCTTGATAAAACAGGCAGACTGCCCACCCAAGTGTGCTTGCTTGCCAGACTGTTTGGTCACATCTCCTTCTGCAGAAGTCAAGTTTGCCTTGCCAAGCTACTTCTGAGCAAGGGTTTGATTCCTTGTGGCGCTCAGCTATTTCAAACACTGCACACCCTAGTTCTGCCAGTACTGCTAATGTCACAGACTTTCAATGCCAGGGCCCTGCTGCTCAGGAGTACAAAGCAACTTGAGCAAGGACCCAAGTGTAGAGCAGCAGCTGCCTGAGATTAACCACAGATCCCCTTGTCGAGTCTACTTTTTTGGGAGAAGCCTGCTCCAGAAATCAGATCTAGGAGGGGCCGCTCCAGCAGCCCTATGGCCTACCTGCCAGACTTCTCAAAAAAGTTCTGAGGTCCCATGACAGAGGTCAGGAAATAAAATAGTAGCTAGAAAGGTATGGAAAAGCATTTCTCTTGACTTGTGTTCATTTTCCATTTTTTAATTTGCTTTTGATGATTCTGAAAGGAACTGATGCTTGGTGTAAAAAAATTCAAAAACTTGGGCTGGGGTTGTGGCTCAGCGGTAGAGCGCTCGCCTCACACGTGCAAGACCCTGGGTTCGATCCGCAGCACCACATTAAAATAAATAAATAAATAAAATAAAGTTATTGTGTCAAACTACAACTAATTTTTTTTTAAAATTAAAAACTGTAGAAAAACAACTCTTCCCTAATACTTTCACTGAGAGCAAACCTCACCTCTGCAAGGACCTAGGGTTTCTGGTCCCACCCCTCTCAGAGGTCAGTCCCCACTACCCCTTTCTCTCTTTGTGCCCCAAGAAAGGCCTTTTTTCTTTATCATATTCCTCTCCTATGGCCTCAGGACCTTTGCACTTCCCATTCCCCTTGTAGAAAGCCTGCTCCAGCTCTGTGACATTCTTCTTAAGCCAACCATCCCTTTTCTGGTTCCTCCTTAGCATTTCAGTCTCAACTGGAATGTGCTTCTGATCATCAGTGCTACCTCCATGACTTTCAGGTATTACAGAAACAGTCTGTATCTCATCAACTGTCCTACTGAAGTAGTTATCACATTTACCTGTTTACTCTCTGTCTCCTGGACCAGAGTGGCAGCTCTGGCCCGCAAACACCCTAACTCAGAGGAGAAGTCCAAGAAATGTGACCCCAAATATGCTTCTTTGGCCTGCTGGTCACTTTGAGATGAAGACAAGTTAAAGACAACAAATGCTGGTCTTCTGGTTCCAAAACTTCCTTTCTGTTTCAGAATAGAAGAATTGGATGGCCACTAATGCCCTCCAGGGAGTTTCATCAACCCTGGGAAGATTAAGCATCACAGAAAGGGAGGAAGGGAACTCTAAACCCATGCAAACTTTGTCATGAAACATCCCTCATTTTTCTAAGGACCATTAGTCTTTGCCCCACATCATTCTCTCTCCTGAGTTGCCTCCCTACAAGAGAGCACATAAGCTCCTGGACCTTACTGTTTGTTTGCATATTCACTCTTCTTCGTGTAATGCCCATCATAAGCCTGTCTACATTTCTTCCTCTGTACCTGCCAGTCAAGTGGTTTCATAGATTCAGTCACGGAGCCCTCACAGGGCAAAGGGAAGCTCTTCCCTCCCCTTTACTTGACACATAGACAGGCTTTCTTCCCAACGAATACTGGCTGAATCTGAAGAATAAAATTTGGTATGGATTCATCAGTATTCATTTTTATTATTTTTGGTGCTGGGGATAAACTCAGGGGCGCTCTACCACTGCGCTACATCCCCAGGCCTTCTTGTTTTTGAGACAAGGTCTCCCTAAGTGGCTGAGGTTCAGTTAGAATTTATGCTCCAGCCTAAGTCTCCCTAGCAGCTTGGATGACAGGCATGCACCACCACATCCAGTCCACTTCCATTCTAACCACTCTCGACGTGCGGAGCCGTGAGGCACGTTCACTGCGGTGCGATCAACTCCTGGGCTACCTCCAAACTCACATCTTCCTAGGCAGAAACTCGGTGCCCCATAAGCACCAACTATTCCCAACCAGCCCTGGGCATCCGCCTGGTCCTTTTTAAGGATAAGCACATTGCACAAGTAGGTGCCCTCCAGCCTAGCTAAAAAGATAACAGATGCAAACACCTAACAACCTGTGGAGGTACCAACCACTCCAAAGCATCCGCCTGGCCGCGGCCAGAAGGACCGGCCACGCCCACCACGTGACCGCGCTCGCTTGCGTATGAGGGCGGCGGTCTCCCGCGGACTGAACCATAGTGCTAGTCAGAACCCGGGGAAGGCCCAGCTATGGCCGCGGGGGCAGGGGAGGGCGTAAATGACTACCGCCACTGTCATACGTTTTTGTATCGCGCCAGACAGAAGTCGTCTTAGTAGTTTTGGCCTTCCATGGTTTCCCGCGAATTCTTCGTGTATTTTGGAATCGTCCATTCTTTTGCCCCGTCAGTGGACGAGTCTAAAACACAGACACGAGGGGGGGTTTGAGTCATGTAAGCTTAACAATTTGCCTGTCCAGAGACGAAACTAGCACAAGGAGAATCATTTGTTAAGCCTAAAGTTTTCTGTGGTACTGATTTTCGAGTTACATCATATTTTTGTGCAACTCTGCATATTAAAGTGATTTCCCGATTCTGCCATCGGCGCCTCAAATTGTTCAATCTTCCCCCCGCAGCGCCGGATGGGAGAAGGAAGGGAGCGGCTGCCATTTTGGGCGAAACCATCCGCTCTCACGAATGGGATGGTTGTGGATTTCGGCGAGTGTGAGAACTGCTGGATGCAGCCGTGTTGCTTGGGATCGAGCACGTTGTTGTCACGGACGCTGCGCTACTCTCGTTTCTGAACACTTTCTCGGGTAACTGCGTTCCTCCGGGCTCGACACGAGAAACCACAGCGCGGGCGCCCCTCCGCTGTAGCTTGGTTGGGCCCCTGTCGTACGCACGTGGCTGGGCGCTAGCGGGCGCGCGGGGCGGCCTGGGAGTCGGAAGCGCGGCGCAGAGCCGGCAGAGGAGCAGCGCGGGCCCATGCAGGACGCGGAGAACGTGGCGGCGCCCGAGGCGGCCGAAGAGCGGGCCGAGCCCGCGCGGCAGCAGCCGGCCGCCGAGCCGCCGCTGGAGGAAGAGCCGGCGGGGCCCGGCGCGCCTGAGGCGGCGCGGGTCGAGGACGCCGAGGAGGAGGCGGCGGCCGGGCCAGAGCCCGAGCTGAAGGCCCAGGCGGAGGAGGTGGTCCCTGGCCCGGCCGCGTCTCCGCCGCCCTCCCAGGAGCCCGCGCCGCAGGCCGAGCTTCCCGCCCCCGCGCAGGGCTCTGCCTTGGCGGAGCAGGTCAGCGACCCGCCTGCGGATGGCCCGGCTCATGCGTCTGCAGAGGAGGCTGGCGGACCCGAGGGCAGCGCGGCTGAGGCCGAGCCGCGCGTGGTGGAGAACGGCGAGGCGGATGAGCCCTCCTTCAGCGACCCCGAGGACTTCGTGGACGACGTGAGCGAGGAAGGTGAGGCGCGTGAGCATGGCGGAACCTTCTGGCTGGTTCCCCTGCCTGGGCCCAAATCCGGTGAGGGTGTGCGCGAAATTCAGCCAGGCCGGGAGGGGTGCCCGCTGCAGCTGCTGTCGCTGCGTGCAGCGGGTGTCCGGACCCTGCTCTCTCGTCTCCAGACGGGGGTCGGAGAGCTCTTAGGAGCTCGGTGTGTATGAGTAGTACCAGCTGGGGGGCAGAGCCTAGCAGAATGCACCATTTCCGGGCCCAGGACCCCGGAGCTGACCAACCAGATCTGAGCCGGCCGAAATGAAGGGACAGGTGGTGCAGAACTTGGTGCAGTGTTGTTCTACTAATTTCTTAATAGAACAGTGCCTGGCAGAACCTGCCAAGTTCTCTTTTTTAAGTCTACAGAGCAGACCATTACTTTTTCAGATTTAATGGCATTTAAACATTTTTAAGCGGCTCCCAGTTACTGTCGTCATTGTTTTACAGTTTTTTTTTTTTTTTTTTTTTTTTTTTAATGGGTCACTTTTTTTTTTTTTTTTTTTTAAATATTTATTTATTTTTTTAGTTCTCGGTGGACACAACATCTTTGTTTGTATGTGGTGCTGAGGATCGAACCCGGGCCGCACGCATGACAGGCGAGCGCACTACCGCTTGAGCCACATCCCCAGCCCCTGTTTTACAGTTTTTTGATATAAAAATAATTTAGCGTGAGGAGCAAACACCACGTACTATGATATAAAGACTGTGAACATCTAGTCTGCCGCTTTTCCCTGAGGAAGTGTGTCCTTTCGGGTAAACTAGGTTACTAGGATTATAACCGGACTCTTTGTCCAGACCGGTGATTTTTTTAACACACCAATCCTCCCCACCCCTATATTCTTATTTATTTATTATGTGGTATTGAGGATCAAACCCATTGCCATCAAGCGTGGGAGCTCCACCTCTAAGCTACAACCCCAACCTCTAACACGCTAGTTTTGTTTTCTAATTTTTCTTAGTTATACATGGCAACAATATCTTTATTTTGTTTATTTTTATGTAGTGCTGAGGATTGAACCCAGTGCCTCACATGTGCAAGGCAAATGCTCGGCTATTGAGCCACAATCCTAGCCCTGTTTTGTTTTTTAATCTGACTTTTGTTTATAGGCTCATTTTGAACCCTTGGTTATTTATTTTGCAGTTGAGTTTTTAAAAAATCATTCTTTAAGACCACCACTCACAGACTGGAGGGGTGTGCGTGTGTGCGCGCGCGCTAACATCATAAGGTCAGCCAGGCTGGGTAAAGTCCTAGTGGGTTTCAGGGAGCCTGTACGATCCTGATGTTGCAATGTGGTCCATAGGGAAGGGAGGCTGCTTGGTCCTGGGGAGCCATGTATTTTTTAATGTATGTGTTCTTTAAAAAAAAATGTGTGTGTGTGTGGTGTTGGTGCTGTACTACTGAGCCACCTCCCTCCCCCACTCTTAAGGCCGTAGACTGGGAAGGTAAGACCATAGAAGTGTCTCCCTTTAAAAAATGGACTGTTTTTAGTACTGCAGAGTCTGCCTTGCCCTGTTCTTTTTTTTTTTTTGAGACAGGGTCTCCTAAGTTGCCCAGACTGCCCTTGAATTTGGGATCCTCCTGCTTCTGCCTCCTGGATAGCTGGAATGATAGGCCTGTGCCTCAGCTGCATCACTGTTCCACAGTCACATTTTAATCTTTTTAAAAAATTAATAATTTTTTTATTTATGTTTTGGTGTTGAGGATTGAACCCAGGAGTGCTCAACCACTGAGTCATGTCGCCAGCCCTTTTTCACGCTATAGAGACAGGGTCTCACTAAGTCATTTGCCAAGCTGGCTTTGAACTTGGGATGCTCCCAAGCCACTGGGATTATAGGCATGTGCCATCACACCTGGCTCATTCTTTAATTTTCATCTTCAGTTCTGGCTAAAATTTGAGCTGCCATACAAAAATGTGAATAAAATCTCTTAACTTCTAATGTCATCTTCTTTGGTTTATGAAATATTATTTACCTGTATATTTGCTATTTAGTTTTGAAAATTGTTTCTTTTTTTCTGGAGCCAGATGGGGAAATCCAAGAGCCAGGAGTAATCCACAGTGATCAAGATAGGTCTGCCATTGTGTAGTTACTGCATTTATTCCCTTCCTAAATAAGGGCAGATTCTTATAGACTAGGTAGATGCTTTGAGCTTGTGGGAAGGAGGCATAGTTTGTAAAAGCTGAGGTTTTTATTATAAGCCTTGTAAGTTCAGATCCGGCTTAACAGGACTCCTAATTGTATGGTGAGCATTGCTTTAAAAATAACCCAGAGATTTTACTACAGTGTCTTTTTTTTTTTTTTTTAGATTATTGCCATTTTAGGGCTGGAGCTGTGGCTCAGTTGGTAGAGTGCTTGCCTGACATATGTGAGGCCCTTGATTCAATCCTCAGCACTGCATTTAAATAAATAAATAGATGAATGATAAAAGATACATTTGACAACTGAAAAATATTTTAAAAATTATTGCCATTTTTATATTTATTCTCAGTGGTCTTTTTAATTGTGTTTTGAAACCACGATTGTGCTTGGTTCCACTACAGTTTCTACAGTGAAGATTTCTGAGATTGCTGTTTCCCTGAGCTGCCTCTTTTCAGCTTTTTTCCTTTTTGGCTAGTCTTCATTTTTGAAATTCAGGTGGTGGTTATTTTTGGGCCAGGGGTTGGTGGGAGGATACTGGGAATTGAACCTGGGTCCTGTGTGTGCTCTCACTGAGCTTCACACCCCCCATCAATTACTTTTAACTCTTTTTGTGGAAAATTTAAAACATATACAGAAGCTGAGAGAATTCACCTTTAGCCTTTGAGAATGGAATGGAATATTTTATGACATCTGTCATGTTTAGCATGTTGAAATTCTTTTTCTGTGGGGGTTACCAGGAATTGAACTCAGGGGCATTCAACCACTACGCCACATCCCCAGCCCTATTTTATATTTTTTTAAATTTAGAGACAGGGTCTCATTGAGTTGCTTAGTGCCTCACTTTTGCTGAGGCTGCTTTTTGAACCTCAGCCTCCTGAGCTGCTGGGATTATAGGTGTGCACTACTGCACCTAACTAGCATGTTGAGATATAATAATGAATTAGGGTATAGTGTTCAAACAACTGGAAATATGTATAAGAAGCCATTCTTCAATGATGTTTAAAATTACCTGGTAATCTCATTTTGACTGTATTTGCTGATGTGGTTTCATGTGATGAGTATGCTTTGATGGCAGCTTTGAAAGGTATCTTTATTTTCTAGCTCATAGTAATTTACTGCTTTCTAGACACTCTACCTGGGTTTAGTGTTTATATAGAATGCATATTAAAAATATAGAATTTGGGCTGGGGATATAGCTCAGTGGTAGAGCCCTTGCCTTCGGTTCAATCCCTAGGATCACAAAAAATAAATTTAAAAAATATGGGATTTACTTTATTCCATCTGATACTAGTTTTACTTCCCTTGTGCCCATCTCCAGCTGGAGGTCAGGTATTTTTATTGATGCTGGAGCTTTATGGTCCAAAGGGCTCAGGACCAGAGACAAGAATCACACAAAATAACAGTTGGCAGTGCCCCAGGGTCATTGTGTCACCCACCGGTATGTGGGCTCCAGGCTGCTTTCTGGGACCTGTTTATTTCTCTCTTTGTTTTTTGGCCCTAATACTTTTTACACTCATTTTTCTCTTCCATTTCTTTTATTCTAGCTGGCTGTTTTATGGAAATGAATCAGTTCTTCATCAGAAGTTTGAGAACTGAAATTTTGGGGTTTAAATGCCTGTCTGCCTTAGTACTGTCTTCCAAGAGCCTATTGAGATAGTGAAATAATAGGAAGTAGCATTTACTTTTACTCTCTGCCCTTGGTTCCTGGCAAACAACTCTTAATAACCTTGGGATTGCCAATATATTTTTTGTATGCTATTAGGTGACTACTGGCTGGAGATTCCTGAGTAATTTTGAGGTGAGGGTGCTGGTTGCTAGAGGAACAAACTATGTAATTGTAGGGAGAAGGGCTGAAGGTTGAGTCCATTACTAGTGTCCAGTGACTTAAATCAGTCATGCAACATAAAGTGTTTTTTGGATTCTATGAGCAGCTCTAGCAGATAGTGCCTGGTGGTGGGCTCTGACTGGAGAGGCAAGATAGGCTTACCGAAACAGTCCCTGGCTTGTCTCTTTGTTGGATTCCCTGGTCTAAGGCTGGATAGCTCACCTGCACAGGATAGTAGGCGCTGGTCTGGAACTGGAGGGTGGGAGGAAAGTGGGTGTTCTCCACACACTTATTTCTCTTTTTAATTATTCTCTTATTCACTAAAAAGATATTTCTTCCTCCCTAAATTTTCTAGTAATTTGTATTCACTAAAACAAAAGTATTGTGAATATTTCTAGCACCTCAATATTTGCATATTTTCTAAACTCTAACATGAAAAACCTACTTTAGTGTCCTGCGTTGTTGACACTGTCATGGAATTTTTCCCAGTTATTGCTAGAAACCTTTTGAAATCTAGGGATCTTTGGAAGATCTAGTATTTGGTCTTCCAAGTTTTCTGCCTTGTTTGCATTTTGCATTATTAAAAATTTTTTAAATTACTTTCAGGTCTTCCATTATTGCCAGAATCAGTGGATAGATCTTGACTGTTTATAGTTACATCAAAGGCAGTATGTACAGTTTTCTTGATTCTTCCATGTTTAAGTTTTTTGTTTTTGTTTTTTTGGTACCAGAGATTGAACACAGGGGTGCTCGACCACTGAGCCACATCCCTAGCCCTATTTTGCATTTTATTTAGAGACAGGGTCTCAAGAGTTGCTTAGTGCCTCGCTTTTTGCTGAGGCTGGCTTTAAACTCTCCATCCTCCTGTCTCAGCCTTCTGAGCTGCTGGGATTATAGACAAGAGCCACTGGGACTGGCTCATGTTTAAATCTTGAAGTGAACTGGGTCATGATTTCTTGTGTCATAGTAAAAGCATTTAAATTAGATCATTGATCCCCCTCCCCAAACTTGGCAGTCTTTTTAGTAAGCTAATGTATTTTTTGGTTTCAGAAAGTCATTTGACAATTCTTTTACTCACACAGAATTACTTGGCGATGTACTCAAAGATCGTCCCCAGGAAGCAGATGGAATCGATTCGGTGATTGTAGTGGACAATGTTCCTCAGGTGGGGCCTGACCGACTTGAGAAGCTCAAAAATGTCATCCACAAGATCTTTTCCAAGTTTGGGAAAATCACAAATGATTATTATCCTGAAGAGGATGGAAAGACAAAAGGGTAAGTCTGCACTCCTATCATTGAAGTGCCATGTGTGTATTTTGGTGTCTACATGATTATAACCTGTTGTGGGAACTCACTGTGAATGCATGCCGCAATAGTGGGCATTCATTTATTTAGGCCACCCCCAGTTGGAAACTCTCAGAAGCTGGATTTTGGTCCTGGGGTCATCATGGAGGTAGAATGAACAAGGTGACTGTGTTGGCTGCTGACTTGGGAAGAGTCAGAGTCTGATGAGCTTGAAACTGTCCCCCAAGGTAGTAACAAGGGTAAGGGTTTGGCTGATCTGGATGCTGGCAGAGTGTCAAGAAAATTTTACATGTGGAGTTTTATGCTGATACCCTTTTATCCTACATTTTAATTTCTTTTAGAGTTTTAGATGGACACAATACCTTCATTTATTTTTATGTGGTGCTGAGGATGGAACCCATTGCCTCATGTGCCAGGCAAGTGCTCTGCCACTGAGCTACAACCCCAGCCTCTTATTCCACATTTAACATCTCTGAAATGGGGTGCTTCTTGCAATCTAGGTGAAATTGTTGCATCACTGCTTAATTAGCATTTATTAGTGTTACCAAAAAGAGTGGTATATTTTTTTAAAATAACGGTAGTGCAATTGCTTTTTCTGTTCAGAATTAGATCTTTCATGTTGATAAGTTATATTCTGATTCTTTTATGTTGTTTTTTATGGTGATGGGGCTAGAACCCAAGCCTTAAAGCACATTAGGTTAACCTGTGCAACTGACCTAGTCCTCCATATTGGCAAATTTTAGATACTGTTTTCTATTATGACTTCTCCTGTTTTTTTAACACAATGTTTTACCATTATAAAAGTCCCCTACCTGTAATCTGTGCAAGTGTGTGCCTCTCTGTTATACCCAGGAGTCAAGATTGTTGAGCTGTGCAGAGTGCCTGTCCATGGTGCACTGGGTGATATGCTGTGTATAGTCCAGTGTCTCCTGCCAACAGTTTTGGGGAGTTTGTTTACTGCCTCCCAGTCTTGTCAGAGCTTCTCCGTTAGTCTTTCATGTAAATGCCAGCTTTTGAGAGCACAGTCATCTCATGGGAATGAGAGGATGATACAGTGGTTTTTAAGTAAAGTTTTGAAGTTTTTAAAACTACCTAGGATAGTTTGTTTCTGGAAAAAGTATCAAGTAGAGGTGGTGCTGCTGACGTTTTACATTTTGGGAAGTAGGTTGAAGGATGACTTTTTTGACCAGGAGTTGCTGTGCTATAAGTTTTCTTAAAATGAACATCCTCTGAGGTCCTTTGTAACTTTGCATTTCATACGTAATAGTAGACTTAAAAAAAAAATTGTAGTTGTAGATGGACAGAATCCCTTTATTTTTTTTGTGTGTGGTGCTGAGGATCAAACCCAGTGCCTCACGCATGCTAGGCAAGTGCTCTGCCACTGAGCTACAGCCCCAGCCTAATAGTAGACTTTTTTAACAGCTTTACTGAGATAATTTATATCTAGTAAACCTACATCATTTTAAAGTATAAGATTTGGTAAGTTTTGACATAGCTGTACACATCTTGACATCACCAAATGTTTCCTATATTCTTATTATCTTGTCTATAGCTTATAATCCCTAAAGTAGAAACTTTGAATCCTCTAGTTAGGATTTTCATTCTTCTTTGGGAAACTACTTGGCCTGTCAGTTGTTACTTGGTTCTTGTTTGACTGCCTAGTATTTTTTTTTTTTTTTTTTAAACTGGGAATTGAATCCAGGGATGCTTTACCACTGAGCTACATCCCCAGCTCTTTTTATTTTTTCATTAGAAACAGGGTCTTGCTAAGTTACTGAGGGCCTTGCTAAGTTGCTGCCTTCAAACTTGTGATCTTCCTGCTTTAGTCTTCCTAGTTGCTTGTGTATGACTATATAGTGTATGACTATAAAATAATGCACAAGCTGGAATTGCTCTCTTTCACACTTCAGGTATATCTTCCTGGAATATGCGTCTCCTGCCCATGCTGTGGATGCTGTAAAAAATGCTGATGGTTATAAGCTCGATAAGCAGCACACATTCCGGGTTAACCTCTTCACCGATTTTGACAAGTAAGTTTAGACTTGACTGGGGAACATGGACATTGATATGTGCGAGTGTGTGGTCACCCTTCCTTAGTGGGTGCTACTGCCTTTCAGACCATAGATGTCTTGTTGGTCAAACAAAATGACAGTCATGAGTCTCAGCCCCATGCTCTTGTCCAGCAGCTCCCCTAACCAGTCCTAACGCTAGCAGACACTTAATTCCTTCCCTACCTCTGGGGTGGGCTGGGAGGGGTGCAGCACTGCCTCGGCTTGCACTGTGTTCTCTAACCCTACCCAGTCGTCAGTGTGTGCTGCTCAGCAGTGTCTGTTCTCCAGGTATATGACGATCAGTGATGAATGGGATATTCCAGAGAAACAGCCTTTCAAAGACCTGGTAAGTTGTATAAAACCCATATCTAAATAGTTAAAAGGAATGCTGGATATTTTGATTTGAAGTTAGTTATTCCTTGGCAGTTTAAAGATGTTCACAGAGTTTGTTCTCTCTCTAGGAGTTAGAGTTATGAATGATATTTTTTCTTTGATTAAAAGTAATGCACCAGGGGTTGGGGTTGTGGCCCAATTCTCAGCACTGCATATAAACAAATAAATAAATAAAGGTCCATCAATAACTAATAAAACATTAAAAAAAAAGTAACGCACTGTTATTAAATCCCTCCTTTTTTTTTTTTTAAAGGGAAACTTACGTTACTGGCTGGAAGAGGCAGAATGTAGAGATCAATACAGTGTGATTTTTGAGAGTGGAGACCGGACTTCAATATTCTGGAATGATGTGAAGGACCCTGTCTCAATTGAAGAAAGAGCGGTGTGTATTTGCAGCCCATGGGTCCACAGTTATTTCTTTTGCAATTCCTTAACAAAGTAGAACTTTGTTTCCATTAGAAAGTAACAAAAGAACTAGGTGCAATGGAGTACATCTGTAATCTCAGGAGGCTCAAGAGGCTGAAGCGGGAGGATCACAAATTCAAAGCCACCCTCAGCAACCTAGGGAGACACTTTCTTTAAAAAAAAAAAAAAAAAATGGGGGCTGGGGATGTGGCTCAAACGGTAGCGCTCGCCTGGCATGCGTGTGGCCCGGGTTCGATCCTCAGCACCACACATACAAACAAAAAGATGTTGTGTCTGCCGATAACTAATAAATAAATAAATATTAAAATTCTCTCTCTCTCTCTGTCTCTCTCTCTCTAAAAAAAAAAAATGAAAAAAAGGGTTAGGGATGTGGCTCAGTTGTTGAGCGCCCCTGAGTTCAATTCCCAGTACCAAAAAAAAAAAGAGAAAAGAAAAATTAACAGAAGAGCAGGTGTTTTGTTTTTTTTTTTTCCCCTTTGAGATAACTCTTTTGAGAACAGCTTCTTTTATTCTTCTTCCAGCTTTGAAATGAGTCCTGAGAAGTATATGGTAGATTCACTGACCCTTCCTTTTTCCACAGAGATGGACAGAGACATATGTGCGTTGGTCTCCAAAGGGCACCTACCTGGCAACCTTTCATCAGAGAGGCATTGCTCTTTGGGGTGGAGAGAAATTCAAGCAAATCCAGAGATTCAGTCACCCAGGGGTTCAGCTCATTGACTTCTCACCTTGTGAAAGGTAAGCTGGTAGCCTTGTTAGTAGCTTTCTATGGTTAATTTTTCTTTGTACCTGGAATTGAACCCAGTGGTGCTTAACCACTGAGCCCCACATCCCTATTCCTTTTTATTTTTATAGGATCTCACTAAGTTGCTTGCTAAGTTGTGTGGCTAGCCTTGAACTTGTAATCCTCTTGCCTCAGCCTTCTGAGTTGCTGGGATTAAAGGCATGAACCACCATGCCAATCTCTGGGGATAATTTTTTTGCAGGGGGCTGGGGTTTACCAGGGATTGAACTCAGGGGCGCTCAACCATTGAGCCCCATCCCTATCCCTAGCCTTATTTTGTATTTTATTTAGAGTCAGGGTCTCACTGAGTTGCTTAGTGCCTTGCCGTTGCTGAGGCTGGCTTTGAACTTGAGATTCTCCTGTCTCAGCCTCCCAAGCTGCTGGGATTACAGTACTGTGTGCCACCGCACTCTGCTCTAGAGATAATTTTTAAAACCTTTTTATCTTGTGGTAATTTCAAACTTAAAAGGAAAATTGTGGGAAGAATACAAAGAACTTCCATGAACTTTTTCTACTGAAATTCTTCAGTTAGCGTTCTGTTGTTATTGCTTTGTCATTTTCTCTCTGTGTGTGTGTAAAACTTTTTTTACTTGAGCTTTTTGGGAACATAGCAGTGTGTGTAGTTTAACATTATGTAGTTTCCCCTTAAATGTAGTTTCACATTATTACAGTTTTATTTTATTTTCTCGTTACTGTCTTATTTATAAATTAAACTTATCATAGATATGTGTGCATAGAAAAGATAAACAAGTATATGTGGTTTGGTATGAGGCTTTAGACATAGTTGCAAACTCTGTACCTGGGCCTGGTTAAGGTGTAAATGTTGTGTATGGTAGTTGTGTCTCTGAAGACATCTTTCCCTGTCTTTTGATTTTCATATTGACTTGTTAAGACAGAATCAGATATCCTAAAAACTCTTTATGTTCTGGATCAGTCTGATTACTTGAGGCATCATTTAACTTATTCAGTCTTATGGTTTTTGTAAGCTAAATTCTGGTGGATATTTCTTAAAATTGATATAATAGTTTTTATGTAGTGAATTTGGAGCACCCAATTAATTCCTAACCATTTTATTTATGTCTGGTACAAAGTAATTGATGTTTCTCATTTTAGCAGCAGTATGTTAAAACTCATAGAGACCCTTAGCCTGAGACATTACAGGCATACCAGGCTTTATCTACTGTGAAGCCTTTCTCAGTTCCTTCAGGCAGCTAGTTCCACCTGTATTCCTGTAACTTGCCACATTAAGTTATAATTAATTTGTTTACACATTTGTCTAGATCAGCTTGAACAGAGTCTGGGATTTCTCATTCATTATTGGTGAAATGCTTGGATGGTTGGATTCTTTGATTATATAAATCGCAGTGGGAAAAGTCTATTTTTAGTTAAGGGCTTCATCAATTGCTATAGTTTAAGGACAGTCTGAAAGGTCCAAATAGGGAATTTCATACCTGGTGGTAAAGGTGACTCAAGCTGTGATCTTTAAAATTTTTATTTATTTAAAATTTTTTTAGTTGTAGATGGACACAGTATCTTTATTTTATTTATTTTTATGTGGTGCTGAGGATCCAACCCAGTGCATCATTCTTGTGTGGCAAGCACTCTACCACTGAGCTACAACCGCAACCCTCAAGCTGTCATTTTTAATTTGGCTGATTAATCTGGTGTCAGAGCCACACCAGGAAAAGATGCAGTCATTGAAAGCCCTGAAGAAACTGTTTGCCCTGCCTTTCTCAGTCTGCTTGCTTCTGCTTTTCTCCTGCACATTGTGAAGAGGGGGCAGTCTGGTTAGGAAATCTGCACTATGTGTGAACAGGGACCAGGTGTTAGGTAAATAGTTGATGTTTCCCTTTGGAGGTATACTTGATTTCCTTTGTAGGTATATTTGATTTTTGGATCCTGTGTCCATCTGTTCTGCTTACCTGGTTAGTCTTAATTAACAGTGGTAAAGCTGCTGTGAGAATCGCACACTGCTCCTTCCTCTGGGCCAACCTACTCACGCAGACTCTCATTTGGGGTGTATGTAGTCTGCCCTGTGCTGATCTTGGTGGAGACCCCATTCTTGGGGACTCTTGCACCACCATGGTACTGAGAGTGGATGAATGCCTCACCTGCGCAGGCTGGCTTCTCTCCCTCCTTTGAGAATGCTTTTTTAGGGATCAGAGAGCATTCTAGGGGAGCATGGTGTGTGGGAACAGTGCTGATCCCTCAAGTCTTGACTGCTTGTTTTGGGTGTTCTATGCCTGTGACTTCCTATAGCTGTCTGTGCTGGAGCTCAGCCTTCAGCCCCCACCAAGGGGAATCACACTCATTGTACACCAAGTCACAACTTCATTGTGTCTCCTTCTCTTTCAGATACCTGGTGACTTTTAGCCCGCTGATGGACACTCAGGATGACCCTCAGGCCATAATTATCTGGGACATCCTTACTGGGCACAAAAAAAGAGGATTTCACTGTGAAAGCTCAGCCCATTGGCCTATTTTTAAGTGAGTAGACAGACCAGTAAACTGTGTGTAGCTGTTTGTTTTTTCATTAAGGTAGCCTGGCACTTCTTTTTTCTTCTTAGGTGGAGCCATGATGGTAAATTCTTTGCAAGAATGACGCTTGATACCCTTAGCATCTATGAAACTCCTGTGAGTGATTTTAAGGATCTCAAAGACAGACTAAGGTGTCTGTTGCTTATAGTTGTCAGTACTCTTGCTCAAGGATATAATGCTTTTCCTTAATCTGGTGTAGTGAAGGGAAGGCGGGGCTCGACACACTGGGTGCAGGTGCTGTACTCTCCCAGTTTCTCTTGTTCTGGATGGAGCTCTTGAATGTTTTCTGCCTTGAATTGTGTGCTTTAGGCAGTGGCTTTGGAAGTGTGTGTTTCGCTTTTGGGTAGGTGGGAGGTGGTTTTGCCCTCTTTGCCTATTACCCTTGGTGCTTATACTGTTCCCCAGGTAGACTCAGTGGGTACTCGTTCCTTTTTTAAATAATTACATGTATTATTGAGACATTGGCATCATCTAACTCAACTGTAATCCTCATTGGGTTTTTGTTTTTGTTTTTGGCAGTCAATGGGTCTTTTGGACAAGAAGAGTTTGAAGATTTCTGGAATAAAGTAAGTAAAAATTTCTGTTAGATTGGTATGAATGTGCTCTGGCTGCTCTAGTAAAACATCATAGACTAGGTGACTTCAACAGAACTGCATTTTTCTCAGTTCTGGAGTCTGAGATAAGAGACCTACAGATTTGGTGTCGGTGAGGGCTTCCTCAAAGGTGAATGTCTACTCCCTAACCTCGCATTGTGAAAGGGTACTAAGCTAATTATTCACTAGGGCCCCAGCCTCATGACCAAATAGTCTTGGGCTGTACCTGTTTTTGAACTGGAGACTCTTCAGGTACAGAGGCTTCAGCTTCTTAAGGATGAGCATTGGATGAAAGATCTTCCCTATTGTTCCAGTGATCAGGGAAGTGGGAGTGGTAGGCACCAGTGAACCACAGTGTGTTCTCATTGTCATGGACAAGCATTCGTGTTTTTATTCATCTGAATGCTCTTGCCACTGTAAACTACCCCTACCTAGTCCAAGGATGTTGATGTATCTTACTCCTTTTGTGTTTCCATTCTTTGGTATAATTTGGGCTTATAATTAATAATGAAATCAGGACCTGGCTCCCAATAAATATAAAACAGGATTTTGCATATAAAAAGATGTTCTTCAATATAGAGGAACTCACAGATTGTTAAAATAGCCACTTTATGGGGAAATTTGTAGGGTAGAGGGATTTACGCCAATTCTTCAAGTTTTGACTTGGGTGCTTTCCCTTTTTGCACCTTAATTAACCTTTAAATTTCATGTAGCTAGATCCATTAAGTAAAAATTAATTTTACTTGCCTTGTAGCAGCAGTACTTGGTGGCTAAGAGTGTGGGAGTCAAGCTGCTATGTGACAGTGAGCAGGATTAGTAACATCTGTTTTTCTTAGAGTCAAAATGAGTGTAACAAAGCCTCGGGGTTATAAGGACAGCTAGACTTCACACAGAGTACCTGCAACAGTCTGGAACGTGCTGTGTGTGGTGAACTAGGTATCAGTTTAGTGTTAGCTGGTCCGTATGCTAGTGTAGCTTTTACAGAGTGAGTTCTGTTCTTTCCTTTTTCAGTTCTATAATAATTTAGTTTTTGTATAACATTTTATTTTCTTTGTCCTGTAGAGACTTTTCTTGGTCTCCTGGTGGTAACATAATAGCCTTTTGGGTCCCTGAAGACAAAGACATTCCAGCCAGGGTAACCCTGATGCAGCTTCCTACCAGACAAGAGATCCGAGTTAGGAATTTGTTTAATGTTGTGGACTGCAAGCTGCATTGGCAAAAAAATGGAGATTATTTGTGTGTTAAAGTAGATAGAACTCCAAAAGGAACCCAGGTAAGTGGACATCAGAGGGAATAGGTTGTTCCTTGTACTTGGTTGTAAACTAGTTGGTCTTTTTTTTTTTTTTGAAGGATGTTAGCGGAATTTTTAATTGTTTAGATTTTGGGATTATTTTCAGCCCCACTTGATACTGAAAGTAGTTAGCTGACATAGTTTAGTAAGTAAGTCTACCTGAGAAATATAACTTCTTTTCTCCATGAAATAACTTTCTGGTCTGTATTTATTATCTTTGACATGGAAACTCTCAGGAGATGGAGGTTTTAGTGTTTTGGTTTTTTTGTATCAGGGATTGAACCCAGGGGTACTTTAACCACCGAGCCACCTCTCTTGTCAACCCTTTTAAAATTGTATTTTGAGACGGTCTCATTAAATTACTTAGGGCCTTGCTAAATTGCTGAGACTGGCTTTGAACTCATGATTCACCTGTCCTCAGCCTCTCAAGTTGCTGACATTACTGGCATGTGCCACTGTGCCCAGCGAGGCTTTATTCTTTTAAGCCTGTTTTATTTTTTAATAGATAATATACTCAGTTGCTTAACATTCGCATTGGTAGTAGAAAAGAATGCATTTTCTTTTTAAGTACAGAAAACATTTTCTTTACATAGTTCCATACCCAGATTTTTTATTTGTATCATTTTATTATTTGCCTTATCAAAAAATTACCTGAATTTTCCTTTTAGTGGAATTATTCACCTTCCCTTTCCGTTAATTTCCCCCTTTTAATTTTATTAGTAGTTGAATAACTATTTTAAATTTAAAACATTGTATTGCTTATTTTATTGTTTTGGGGGCAACATTTGTTTTCATGAATCATGTAATCAATATTCAAGGTAGTTCTCCTTTATTGAGACATAGAATCTTATCCTCATATAATAACATAGGCTAGGCATGCCTGAGTAACTCAGTGTAATTCAGGAGAATATCAGATTTCTAGGAAGGATAATAATGGAATTAGAAAAGAGTTCACAAAATGTCAGTAATGATAATGTCTTGGAGAAGGTTGTATAGGAGATTTGAATTAGGAAAAAATAATCTCTTTAATATACAAGAAACAAATTTAGTAAAACCATCTGGGTTACAGGAAAGTTGAATGTAGCTTTTATATTCATCTTACCCATATGATGGTAAAGCGGGGGGGGGGGGGGCTAGTTGTAAGTTAGTTAGAATGAGGAAATATTTAGTACACATCTGGAACTTCTTTGCCTGAGAGGGTGTACTGTCTGAAAGTATAAAAGAGGATCAACAAAAGCTTGAATAAATCCATGGATGACAGACATGGTTGGGTATGAAGGCCAAGTTCAGGGTGTGCTCCTCATCTCTGAGCCTTGAAGTAGCAAAAGGTCACCATCAAAGTCATTAATATTTTTTTTTCTTAAGGTGCAGTTAACACCTTAAGAAAATGATAAATTTTTTTAATGATAAAACTCACCTTTTAGTGGTAAGCCAGTTCAGTGGCTTTTAGTATATTTACAAGGTCATATAGCCACCACTGTTAATTCTAGACCATTTTCTTCACTCAGAAGAGAAACTCTGTACCCATTAGCAGTTACTCTCCATATCCCTCCTCACTCAGGACATCTGGTAATCTACCTTCTGGCTCTATGGATTTTCCTATTTTGGATACTTTCCACAGTCTGGTCTTCTGTGTCACATCTTTTATTTCACATTTTCACAGTTCATCCATTTTGGCATGGATGAGAATGTGTAAGCATCCATTCTTGTTTATGACTGAATAATACTTCATTCATGTACATTTTTGGATGTTGGCTGTGGTGAGTAGTGTAGTGCCCTGCTTTTGGACATACTGCTGCTTAAAGATCACGGTGCAGATTTTATCAATGTAATATGGTTTCTGTTAATGGACCTTAAAGAGCACTTGGGAACTTATTTAAACAAGCCACAGTGAGTATACCCTCAGGGTAGTTAGAGTCAGCACAGGTCTCCACTGTTCTCTGCTGTATTTGTGCCAATTTATACTCATAAGCATTAGGCACACTTCTTCATGGGAGAATTTTAATGCCATCAGTTGTTTGGGAGTGGTTTACTAGTTGTAAGAATTTATTATTTTATTAAATTCTTTAAGTCTTTTTCTCCTGCTTTCAATTTCCAGAATGTCACCCCCCCCCTTTTTTTTTTTAATCAGGGTGTTGTCACAAATTTTGAAATCTTCCGAATGAGAGAGAAACAGGTACCAGTGGATGTGGTTGAGATGAAGGGTAAGCTTCATTTTATTGTCTTGTGGTGGGATGGGCCTCCTGTATTGTTTTGCTCTTGACTTCTGCAGCATTCAGCTGCTGACCCCCTAAGCAATTGTAAAGGGTGTACTTGCTCTGTGAACAGCAATCTCTAGACCTGAGCACGTGGAATTGGAGTGGCTTTTGTCCTTTTCAACAAAAAACAGCCTTTAGGTTTTATAAATGCTGGTTAAAGTTGCCCCACTTTTTCCCCCCACACCTCTGTGATCTGTAGCACAGGAGCCAGGAGGTGTAGTTGTTTTCATACTTAGAAGAGAACGTGTGAAGAATGGGTTTTCATTCCACATTTAAGACGCATCACAAGTGGTGTCTCAGAAAATAAAAGAGGCAAGCCTTTTTTGTTTTTGTTTTTTGTAACCTTAAAGAATATATATGTATCTAATTTCTTTTTTTTTTTTTTAAATATTTATTTATTTATTTTTCGGTGGACACAACATCTTTGTTTGTATGTGGTGCTGAGGATCGAACCCGGGCCGCACGCATGCCAGGCGAGCGCGCTACCACTTGAGCCACATCCCCAGCCCCTATCTAATTTCTTGAATGAGTTTCCTTTTTACTTTTTGGTGTAAAAAGGGTCACTTTACCTTGGAGTTATACCTCCAGTTTCCTGTTTTTATTTTTACTTTTTTTTATGTGGTGGTGCTGGGGATTAAACCCAGGGCCTTGTGTATGCGAGGCAAGCAGTCTACCAATTGAGCTTATCCCCAGCCCTATTTTTAATTTTGAAACAGGGTCTCACTAAATTTCTGAGGCTGGTCTTGAACTTGTGATATTCACAAAGCTAGCTTTATTTCCCTTGCTTAAGATTAGATGTTTGAGGGCTGGAATTGTGGCTCAGTGGTAAAGCGCTTGCCTTGCACGAGCAAGGCCCTGGGTTCAATCCTCAGCACCACATAAAAATAAATAAATAAATAAAGATATCGTGTTCATATACAACTAAAAAATATTAAAAAAAAAGATTAGACATTTGACTCATGTGTATCTTTGTGTGTATACTGTGGTCTCTGAGGTTGCGAGCAGCAATAGTCAAAATAAGGAATCTAACATGAATTCCCACTGTGTATGTTCCCAGTGAATAATTATCCATGTTTCACTGTTAATGAGAAAACCTGGCTTGCAACAGGGTTCCTTACTGTCACGAACAGTGCTGTTTTTGCCTTTATCTGGGAAATTACTTTGTGTTCTGTTTTGTTGTTGTTGTTGTTCTTCCATGGAGAAAAGGAGAAAATACAGAAATGAGAAAATGGTGAAATGTGGCCATTTTGTCAGGGCAGAAAAGTCATAAGATTCTGCTGCAGGGGACTGGCGTTGTAGTTCAGTGGTAGATCACTTACCTTGCATGCATGAGGCACTGGGTTTGAATCTCACCACTTAAAAATAAATAAAGATATTGTGCCATCTACAGCTAAAAAAAAAAAGATTCTGCTGCAGGTCTAGCATTGAGTATAGGAAGGGGGTGCCCTCAGGCCCACCAGACATTGGCCAGACCCACTGTGGGTGTGACTCTTAGGAAAGCAAGAGCTTCTGGGATGGAGGATGAGTTTTACCTAAAGCATCTCATGCAAATTAGATCAGCTTCTTGTGTCGCTTATGATGAAGTCTTGTGTTGCCCAGGGTGGCCTGGGACTCCTGAGCTCAAGTGACCTTTCTGCCTCAGCCTTAGAGTGCTGGGCTCCAGTCATGCACCACTGGGTTAAGCTAAGTCTGTTGCTTTCAGCTTCTGTAATAGTTGCCTTTTCTTGCTGTCACTTGTTCTGTGGGCCTTTTAGTAAATTTTAAGAACTTTGGGGGCTTTTATCTGGTTGAATAGTGAACATCTTAACTGATTAGAATGTTCTCGTAAGTGATCACAAAGGATGCTAACTTTTTTATTGATTATAGAAACCATCATAGCCTTTGCCTGGGAACCTAATGGAAGCAAGTTTGCTGTGTTACATGGAGAAGCTCCACGAATATCTGTCTCTTTCTACCATGTGAAGAGCAATGGGAAGATTGAGCTCATCAGTAAGTGGCCTGGCCCATCTTGGGCCCCCTTTCCTTGACAGATGAGCGAAGGCGATAGGATTTGGTTTTTGCCAAGAGTGAGTGGTGGACTGACCTGGGCAGACTTCTGAGCAGACTTCTGAGCAGGCCTGAGTTTGATGTACATAAGGCAGCCATGGTTCAGGTGATGTGCATTTATTAGTGAGGCTGAGATTCCTCATGGGAGGGAACTTCATGACCACAGAGCCTAAGCTTCTGTGACCCTGGCTTTTTTTAATAACTTGGGGTTTCTCAGACCCCATCTTCTTTCATTGGTCTGAGTGAAGTTATATTTTGTCCTTTTATAGCTGGGTGTTTCGGGGGGGGGGGTCACTTGATTGCATACATGTGCATGTCACTTGGCCTTCGGGGTCCTTCTGACCCAAGGCCTGTCGTGTCTCTGATCACCTGATGGGTACCATGAGCCGGAATGATGAACATTTACAATAAGGGCAATTTTTTGACGAATTGCTTTCTGAAATTAAAAAAATTTTTTTACATATATATATAATTTTTATATATGTATGTAATGTTCTATGTATAATGTTCTACACCTAAAAAGAACTCTTGTGCTTTTTTTTTCTTAAAGTATATATCGCATCTTAGATGCACCTAAATGATGGATTTTCTAAAATTGTTTTTCAGAGATGACCAAATGGTATGATATGTGTGTGAATTCTGTATGAGTCCGTTTTTATCAGCTTAGAGCAGTAACGATGTGTCTGGGCTGTAGAACCATGCATAGGCTCCTCATAGGCACCTCCTTTCCTTTCAGAAGTGTTCGACAAACAGCAGGCAAACACGATCTTCTGGAGCCCTCAGGGGCAGTTCGTTGTGCTGGCTGGTCTGAGGAGGTAGGTCCAGCAGTCCTGTTTTTGTATTGGCACCCTGACCCAGGTCTGTGGGTTGTAGCAGGCTCTATGTCCCTTGTCTCTTGCTTAAGAGGTGAAATGCTATCGTTGAATTGTGTCACTGTCCCAAACTTGGGTGAGATCAGGCAGATTTCATGGATGGATATGAACATCCTTCTGTGATTGAGCAAGGGACCTTCCCAGCAATCCAGTTACTCTCATGTGAAGTCCCACATCTTCTAGCATGACTGCTATTTAATTAAATAGCTGTGAGATTATCTTTTACCTATGAGAACTTTTCAATGTCTCTTTTCCCTCACTTCCCTACCATACCAGTTGAATATTTAGAAATAGTAAAGATATTTAGCATTTTACACCTCAGTTAAAACAACATCAGTTTGTTGCTTAATTCCCTTGCTATTGCAAAGAGGAGTTGTTACTCCACTTTGGGAGGCGTGGTTAGCCTTGGTGCACTTTTTTTCAGAAACAGTAGCATAGTGCCCCACAACCAGCAGTGGTCAGTTGGCTTCTGGTCTCTGCATATTGCCCTGGCCCTCATGCCCCTCAGAGCAGGAAAGTAGGAATGAATATGTGGAGCCTGACTGCTGTGTGTTGTCTCTGCAGTATGAATGGTGCCTTAGCATTTGTCGACACTTCCGACTGTACTGTCATGAACATTGCAGAGCACTACATGGCCTCTGACGTCGAGTGGGATCCAACTGGGCGCTATGTGGTCACTTCTGTGTCCTGGTGGAGCCATAAGGTAGGGGCTGTGAAGCCTCAGCAGGAGAACCAAACTGACTGTTTGGGGATCTTAAGAAAAGAGTGTTGTGCCTTTCCCATCCCATCAGAGAACATGGGCATTCTTATTTTCAACTTTTTTTTTTTAATGTTCTTTGTAGTTGTATATGAACACAGTACCTTTATTTTTTTGTTTATTTATATGTGGTGCTGAGGATCGAACCCAGGGCCTCAGATGTGTGAGGCAAGCACTCTACCACCGAGCCACAACCCCAGTCCCTTCTGTTCTGTCTTTGACAAAAGAGCTAAGGTTGGTGTCAGTGAAAGGAGGATTCAGGGATTGTAGAAAAGGTGGAGCCTGGCACAGGAGCAACATCTGGGGAGAGTCATATCCTAGGCCTGGGATTCTGGAGAAGGGTGAGATTGTGTTACTCACACGCCTTTTGGGGGAGAGTAGTATGGAGGTACATCCCAGCTGAGCAGTTTCCTCTGGAGTCTCACAAAAGATTCATAACCTGAGGACTTTTCAAGGGAGCGTTTCTGCCTGCAGGGCCAGTCTGCAAGAGTACAAGTACATCTCCCCACCTCAAGTTCATTGTGCCAGGTTTTCCAAGAACTTCTCTTTGTATTTAATGAGTCTCTTGTTGGTGTATGAACATCTGACCTGATCGTTGCAGATGCAACCTTTGTGATCAAATGGGGTGATTCTGTTTAGTGAGGCAACAAACTGGTAGGAACACCAACTTTCCAGATCTCTCTGGGAACAGTGTCTTGAGTCACAGTCTCTGTGTTCAGATTAGGGTGCCTGATCAAGGCCCATGTCCAGACCTGTTCAGCTGTCACCATAATAAGGCCTACCTTCACACCTACTTAAGGTCCTTATAAACTGCTGGCCACTGTTCTAGATAACACACTTAGCTAAAGAGTAATGAGGCAGTGAGGAGTCATACCAACATATGAGCTAAGGCACTGCATCCTGCATTAAGGGATGAAAAAACAATGTGGCTGGTGGTAGGTGACTTGCATTCTGGGGCAAGTTCCTTATTGCAGTAGGAATAAACATGCTTATGCTTTCCTAAGTACTCTGTAAGCTGTGTTCTGCAGTTCATCTGTCTCTCGTTTGTTCACTGTCTTGTTTACCCTTGCTGAGGGGCCCTTGTTTTTTTCCCTATTGGATCTCAGATACCCAGAATGTCATTGTGCAGCTGCCAGGGTTGCTATTATGTGCAGTGAAGGTTCGAGGGTCTTTTGTCTCCCTGCTGGAGCAGTGACTCACAGCACACACTGTGTTGTAGGTGGACAACGCTTACTGGCTGTGGACATTCCAAGGACGCCTTCTGCAGAAGAATAATAAAGATCGCTTCTGCCAGCTGCTGTGGAGACCACGGCCCCCCACACTTCTCAGCCAGGAACAGATAAAGGTGTGGGGTCTCTTGAGCTTCAGTGGAAGCAGTGTGGCCCTGTTTTTTCCCCACGATTGTGGAGGTGGTGGTGGAGGGTAGAAACAGGATATTTCTGGACAGGCCAGAAGATTCAAGAACAGTGGGGACTAAATGGAAAAGAGTAGTTTCAGGATTGTCAACATAAATTTTCGGGATGTTTAAGGAAATTCCGCATTAACTGGGAGGGGTGAACAGAAATGCTAGGAGCTGTTAACAATCTGTGTGGGATTAGGAGAAACACATCTGGGATTTACATAATTGTTAAGTAGGTCAGTGGTAGTAGACCAACACTAAAGAGAATAGAAATCCCAGGAAAAAGTCACTCAGGATGAAGTGAAAGGGAAACCATGGTGTTCCTCGTTGCCCCAGGTGACTCTCTCTAAAATCACTGAGCGTTGTTTCATGTTGGCAAATTTGAAGGCTGCGTTTGTGGTTCTTGCTTTAAATGTTAAACCCTGAGTGACTTGTTTTTGTTTCAGCAAATTAAAAAGGATCTGAAAAAATACTCTAAGATCTTTGAACAGAAGGACCGTTTGAGCCAGTCGAAAGCATCAAAGGTAAGCCTCACTCTGAAAACTGAGGGGAATGCCAAAGCTGCCATGGCACTGGAGAACCAGTGTGGGTGTAGGGGAGGGTGTGCTACTGGTCTCCATGGGACAGATGGGGGCGCTGCTCCTCCCCCGGACCATTGACCTTTTCTGGGGCAAGGCAAGGGGGTAGGCCAACAGCATTGGGTTTGGTGTCCACCTTGACTCTGTTGCTGGCTGGTTTTTCAAATATAGGGTCAGGGAGAGGGACAGGAAGAACACTGAGAACTGACGTTTTCCTTGCGGGAAGAGTTCTCTGTAAACGGAGTGGTGGGTACATCGCTCAGTAGGATGCAGGCTGCTTGTGGCAGAAAGCTTTCACTTAAGTTAAGCAAAAGCACATGAAGATGAGTTCTGTTAATTCTGTGACTTTCCACTTACCTGTACTTAGGAATTGGTGGAGAGGAGGAGAACCATGATGGAAGATTTCCGGAAATACCGAAAAACGGCCCAAGAACTCTACATGAAGCAGAAAAATGAACGTCTAGAACTGAGAGGAGGTAACAAAGGTTCTGAGGGTGTCCAGCAGTGGAGAGGGCTTCCCAGCCCATGGGTGGTGCGACTCCTTAGTGCAGTGCCTCTCTCCTATGCCAGGCTGTGGCTGTAGCTTCCGCAGCTGCCAGTGAGCATCTATGATCCAAGGGTCAGCACACTTTGTCCTCTCAGGGGTGGACACTGACGAGCTGGACAGCAACGTGGATGACTGGGAGGAGGAGACCATTGAGTTCTTTGTCACTGAGGAGGTGATTCCTCTTGGGAACCAGGAGTGACCTGAGCACTGTGTGGTAAGACTGTCCTTGCTGTTTTGTTGCCCCATGTTAGAAAATGTGGTGTTGAAGGTGGGTGGAGTGGGCCTCAGGGTAGCCAAGACTGTGTGTGTGGAATGTGAAGAGCAAGTTCAGAGCTACTCTAGGAACCTGACAGAACACCTGGTCAGTTAGCAGAAGATGTCATGAGACACCTTGGATTATGAATGAGGTTGATGGGAAGAGACAGAAGTCCAGTGTGATCATCTCTGGAGGGCTTTGCTAGTGGACAGCCTCAGGGGCCCATAGGAAGAAGAGTTGGGCACAGCAGCTGTGACTCTCTATGTCAATCACTGTCAGTTCTGAGACAGAACTGCTTAGTGACTGTCTCTTGTCCTCACTTCATGGCTGTCTAGGGGCAGGAGTACTAAGCCACACAGTTCCTTTGTGCTTGGGTGCTTTGTGGCTACGTGCAGTTGGTCATGGACTCAAAGGATGGTGTTTGCGCTGGGAACTACCAAGGGGCCTGCTCGGCGGGGAGGGCAGCGGCACCTCCTGTGGTTCACCTGTCCCTTTGTTGCAGCATCACCACATCGTGCCCTGAAGCGGAGGCCACCCTTTTGCAGAAAGCCTGCACAACTCTGAATCTGTACCTGTGCTCTCTCTCACTCTGGGCTGTGAACGCACCTGGGATTCTTCCATCCTGACACTTTTTTGTGCCTTTAAACCCCTGGTGTGCACAGTGGGGAGGTTTCGAGGCACTGCTTTGGTTTTTCTCATCTGGATTTGTCAACCACCAGTGGTTGCCGAGCAAGACTCCCAGCGGTGCTCCTGTCGTCTCCTCTCCTCCTGCGGTGGTGTTCCAGGGGTTCCACCTGCTGCTGAGCTGGGTTTTAGTTCAAGGACTCACTGTTTTCTATGTGGGCCAGTGTTGGGTGCGTCCTGGTGACTGGCAGGGGGACAGCATACTGCCTGTGTCCCACCGAGCTCAGAGGTGCCATGGCCGTGGACTCCGTGGTGCAGGTGTGGCAGGTTCTCTCAGCAGGTTGAATGTGGAAATAAAGCAACCCTGTGTGAAAAAGCTGTCTTTTCTCCTCTTTGCATGTAGGTAAGCGCCTTGACTCTGGTGCCTCTGTTCCCCTTCTCCCAGGACTAAGGGTCTGTAGCCAGGCCTGGCGCGGGGGAGCTGGCAGTCAGTCACTCCACACATATACTTGGCTTGCAGGGATCCTGATGGCAGCTCGGAGAACCCAGCCTCCCACCCACTCTGCTGCCTTTCCAGCCATGAGTTGGTCCAGTGGGTCCAAAATAGTTTCTTCAGTTTTTTCATTCTATGGGGAAAAAAAAGTGCATGTCATTTCTGAAAACCCTTTAGTCTTTCTGGAGTTAGACAGAAAGTTTGTATTGAGTGCATCAGTTCAGCCACTGTGATGTCGTCACAATATTTACTTTTACTATTGAGAAGGGAGTGAACAGATCCCTGTGGCTTGTCATTTTCTCTGTAGTGTCTTGCCACCCATCTGTGCCTTGTGATATTGCATTCTCTCCCACCTCCTTCCCTGCATCTCACAGAGCCTGAAGTTGTGCTAAAATAGCAGGACACACGGGAGGGGCTTTCTAGGATCCACAGCCATGCGACATCTGCAAATCTAAGGCATGCTTGAGATGGCAAGATAGGCTGATCTACAGGCAGGGACAGGGGCCAAGTACTGCCCTTGAGACACTCAGTTGGCTCCTGACAGGTTGCTGCCTGGTCCCAAGCTCTTAGCTGAGTGTCCTCAGGAGTGAGGCTGTGCCCCAAGCTTATCTGGCCTGTCATGGAGGCTCCAGGGTGACTGACTGGGTTTCCCTGGGGCATGGAAGGGGCTTTGTACCTTTCCCTTCTTGTGAGACTTCCTCTCGATTCTGTCACTGTTATAGTCCTGCCATGTCTCGCCCCTAGCACCCATTTCTATAGTATTCCTGTTCACTCTCAGTGCTTCAAACTCTAGAATGCTCTTTTCTAATTTCATGGCAATGAGAAGGTGGCACACTGTTCTATCATTAACAGGTTTTTAACAACTTTCAAAAGTTTTTTTCACTGTTTTAATTTGTAATTGTTTTACATGATTTATAAATAAAAGGATTTCTGAAACACTGGTGCTGGCTCTTCTGAAGTAGAGATGGAATTCCCAGGATGACAATTTTTAGGGGAAATTAACTGATCGTCCCAGAGCCAGAGGAGGGGGTGTCCCCGTTGCTTGGGGGCTGTTGGGTGGGCCTGAGCCCTCTGAAGCCTTGTCTTGGTCCTGTCTCTATGAAGCAAAAAGAGTGCCTTGTTCTGTTGATCAGGCTGGGGCTTTTACTTCCAGGGCAGAGGGTTGGGAGACTTAGCTTTTAAAGGGTTGCTCTCCCTCCCTCAAGGGAGGGTATCTGGATACCAAGAAGGGGAGAGGAAAATGACCAAGTATGAACTGTGCCCTCGCATGAACCATCCAGTGGTTTTACAAAAGCAGCACAGTGGTTTATGGAGCAGGAGGGCCTGAGAGCTCCTGGTGAGCTTAAGGGATTAATTAGCTGGGGCTCACCTCTGCCAACTGTCCAGCTCTAGTTGGGATCCTGGAGGGGGCTCAGACTTGGGCTTCACAGGCCCTGGCTTTGTGTGACTTCATCAGCACACAAGGGCACTGTCCTGTTTGTAGTGCATCTCTGACTTTGGGCTGGGTCTTCCTGCAACCCCTCTGCCTGCATGGCCTGACAAGTGCAGTCTGCTGCACTGGGTAGGTTCATTAGGCAGTGCCTTCCCCAGGGACTACAGTGGAAAAGTTGAGCACAGCGTATAAGCAACGAATACAAGCTGAGCAGCCTCTAATCAGGCCCTGGATGTGCAGATGAACAATGTGGGAGCAGAGAGAGAGTCATGTGGAAAAGGGCATTTACAGCGTGGTTATTTCCTTTAGCTGTTGCTGGTTGTCCCTTGGGTGGAAAAGCCCCAAGATGACCATGATCTGCTGCACTGAGGCAGCCCCTGAGGTGGGCCACAGCTCCTGTGTTCAGGGTGGGAGAGGGGAACTCTACAAAGAGCAGGTGCAGGCCCTGTCAGGGCAGGCTCACCATAGACCAGTAAGACCCATGGACATGGGGTTGCTATGGCATTAGGTGGTACAAGATAGGAAGCCTGTGCTGACTTCTAGTTACTGGCTCATGTGCTCCTGTCTTGGTCTTGGAGAGTTTCTTAGGCATCACCCCTGGGACCCAGCTGATGTCATGGGGCAGGGCGGGGCTGAGCTTAGACCGCACCTGGCTCTGCTTCTGCCAGGACAACGGCCAGACCCTGTTCTGCAGCATGCCTTCCCACCAGGTTGCTGGCCCTTCCCCAGCCCAGGGTAGCCCAGCCTTGAGGGAGATGGAGCCTAAGGACCAGCAGCTCATGGTAAGCACCCCTCTCTCACCCTTTGTGTCCCCTACCCTCCCAGTTCTCACTTCCCTTACACTCTGAACCCACCACCTTGGGACAATCTCTTAACAGCCGTCTCATGTCCAGGGTCCCACCTCTGCTCCGCCAGAGACCTAGCGACCTCATGCCCTCCTCACCATGTCTCCAGACTCCTTACCCCCTGCCCTGTGACCCTCCCTCCCCAGGGAACTTGGGACCTGGACCAGGACTCAGTTGGGGGCAGGACTGTGCTCCTCAACCCCTACATAGGCCCTATCCAGACCCATCTGTTAAGTGACTTGACCTCAGCTTTTCTGACTTTGGGGGAACTAAAACCAGGGACTGGCCCCAAGTGTGGGCTGGTAAAAGAGAGACCAGTGATATTGGCCCCAGTTCATATATAGTCTAATTCCAGCCATCTTCCATTTGGGAAGTAGGTGGGTTTTTTTTTAGTTGTTGATAGACCTTTATTTTATTTATTTATTTGTGGTGCTGAACCCACTGCAAGAATCCGGTGCCTCACACATGCCAGGCAAGTGCATTAGCACTGAGCCACAGCCATAGCCCAGCCCGGATGTAGGTTCTTCTGTGTGCTCACTTTGGGCCTGGTCACACTCCATAGCTATGTGACCTTAGGCAAATACTTCCCTCTCTATGTGCCTCAGTACCTTCTTCTGTTCCACAAGGGTGACATAATCATGTATTCCTCAAAGGGTTGCTGCAAGACATAAATAATTTCATGCCAGTGTTAAGTTAGGCAGGGGCTCGGGTAAGGCTCAGTAGTGGAGCCCTTGCTTTGCTTGCATGAGGCCTGGGTTCCATCACCAGCAACACAAAAAACAAAATAGAAGGGAAAAAAATGACTCCGGAGGGCTCCTTCTGCTTCACTGAGTTTGTATGGGACATCAAAGAAGGACAGGAGGGAGTTTGGGCTGGGCAACTTGCTGTTTGAGGAAGAAGGAGCAATCTTAGAGGGACTCGTGAACGTACTGCTCCTGTCCTACCCACAGGTGGCGCTTCGAATCCGTCCACTCAATGCAGCAGAGTTGGAGGAAGGAGCCACCGTCATTGCCCACAAAGTGGGGGACCAGGTGAGGTTGGGAGGCACAGAGGCACAGGGTAGCTGTGAAGCTCACCCAGCCATGCACATTTACCTGTGTAACTCATTCTCTCAACAAATGCTTATATAGTAGCTCCCACCCACGGGTCAAGTGGAGGCTGACAAGGGTCCCACCAAGTTTGTTTTTATTAATATTGTGTATAATGTTGGGAATTTCATCCAAACGGCTGTGGTAAAGACCTCTGGTGAGACACTGGAGCAGGGCTGGGAGGCAGGAAAAACTAGGCAGAGTGGGCAGCAGGCTGGAGTCCTGAAGCAGCCAGGTGTGGCCTATTTGAGAAGCAGCCGGAGTGAGCAGAAGAGGCTGGGAGAGCAGTTTTAGTAGGCCCAGGTCTAGATCTGCAGTCAGACTCCCAAGAGATTCTCCTTCACTGCCGGCTCACTGCCATTGCTAGGGATTTCTCCTTAGAGACAGACTCAGAGCCAAGTTAACCACATGGTTAGCAAAGCTTTTGCCCTTGATTTCCACCTGCAAGAACAAATGCCAAATTTGGGGTATGTCATTGGAAAGTGGATGGGTTTTTTCATTTGTCATTAGGAAGGTGTCTTCCATGAAGAATGAAATGGCTCTGGAGAGGTGGTTTATGCTGAAGTCCGAAGGACCCAGATCTTGGTGGTGGGCATTCCCTGTTGACAGCTGTCCCCTGGGGTGGGGGTACCTATCCTGATTTGGCAGGTCAGGAAGAAGACAATTGGACAGAACATCTGTGGGGTGAATGGCAGGCAAAGAGATTGGGGTGAGTCAGCACTGAAGTTGCAGAAAACTAAGCTAAAAACACAAGACTGCTGTTACATTGAGAGAGTCAAAAGTTTTGCAGGAAAGGATGTGGATTTGCTACAATGGATGTGGGAACACTGAGTGTTACTCTACTGAAACTCATGAGGTAACAGCATAGTGCAGTCAGAGGTGCAACTGTCACCTGATAGCAGTAAGTCAGGAAGTGGTAGAGAACTGACAGAGATGCCACCCCCAGCATGCTCATGGGCAGATGTGGTGGTATAGACCCAAGATCAGTGAGAACAGTGGACATGTTAGGCGCAGGGCCTGTGCTTCACACAGGTTCATAGCATCTCGCTGTGCACTGTAGATGACTCACTCTGAGAACTGAGTTCACATCACATACATTTCACCAATTCAAAGCACGCCATCCAGGGTGTTTAATTCATCCTCAGGGCTGTGTTACCAGCATCTCTATCCAGTGACAGAATGGTTTCCTCACCCCAAAAGAAGGCCCCATTCCTCTTCCCCCTCTTCCTGCCACTGGAAGCCACCAGTCCACTTTCTGTCTCTATTTTATTTAAATGCAATCTTGGAGATGCAGCCCATTGCTTCTTCCATCTAGCCTGAGGTATATGAGGGTCATCTATGTTGCAACGTGTGTATGTGTGTGTATGTATGTATATATGTGTGTATGTATACGTGTGTATATATATGTGTGTGTGTGTGTATATATATATATATAAATAAAATCAGGAATTGAACCCAGGGGTGCTTAACCACTGAGCCACATCCACATCCGTTTTTATTTTTATATTTTTTTGTGGTGCTGGGGATTGAACTCAGGGCCTTATGCATGCAAGACAACCACTCTACCAATTGAGCTATATCCCTACCCCTCCTGTGTATTTTTTGAGACAGGATCTCCAGAGTTACTTAGAGCTTCCCTAAGGTGCTAAGGCTGGCCTTGAATTTGGCAATCTTCCTGCCTCAGCCTCCCAAGCCACTGGGATTACAGGTGTGCATCACCCACACCTGGCATGTTTTATTTTAATCTTTATTTTATTTATTTATTTTTATATGGTGCTGAGGATCAAACTCAGGGCCTCACACATGCTAGGCGAGCACTCTACCACTGAGCCACAACCCCAGCCCTTATTTTAACTTTTTATGGTGAAGTAACTTCAGACCATTGAAAAGTTGCAGGAGCCCTATAGGGCTCCCACATTCCCTGTGTCTAGATTTTCCAAATGTTAACATCTATCCATGTTTGCCTGCTCTCCTACTTCCCTGTGGTACAGACCTTTTTTCTGGAGTGCTTGGAGTAAGTGGTGGGCATTAGGGCTCTCCCCACTCAAACATTTTGGCATATGTCTCTTGAAAACAAGAACATTCTTGTAACTGACCTCAGGGCAGTGACCGAAACCAGGAAGTACATGTTGATCTAATATTATCTAATCTATAGACACTCATATTTTGCTGATTTTTCTCAATAATGTTCTTTATGATAAAAGAAAATATTTTTTTGGTCCAAGAGTCATGCAGCTGATATATATAATATTTTAAAGTTAACAGGATTCTCAGTTACTCTTTTTTTTAACCTTTATTTTATTTATTTGTTTTTATATGGTGCTGAGGATCATACTCAATGCCTCACATGTGCCAGGCAAGTGCTCTACCATTGAGCCATAACCCTAGCTGATATTTTTGAACACCCAGGACTCAGTGATTTCCCACCGTCACCCCTCACAGCTCTTAACAGGTGGGTTCTATGATCACAGCCATGTTACAGAGGAAAAAACTGAGGCCTGGAAAGTTGAGGCAAAGGATCCGAGGTCTCCCCGCTGGTAAGAAATAGGAATCCAGGCTACAGGGCTCCAG